TTGGACTTCCAGTCTCCAGAACTGCGAGAAAATAAATTTCTTTTGTTTAAGCCGTTAAATCTATGACATTTTGTTATAACGGCCCACGCAGACTAAGACACCAAGACACATTCTGGGCAATGAAACACACCATAACAAGTTAAAAGAAAATAGAAACCATACAAAGTGTCGTTTAAGATTACAATGGGATTGGAAAGAGCCAGTAAAAAGCGAGGTCCCTGGAGCTTAAGCTCCACTGATTTCAGGCAAATCTGCGCCTTCTGATGAGCCCACTTCAGGCAAGACTGGGCAGCCCGCCTGTGTGTGGCTGTCCCCTCTCGCTATGGGGATCTCATGAGGCAGCTGACCCGGCCTCCAGGGCCCAGCCAAGGCTGTGACCTGGCAACAGAGGAGGTTTCTGTGGCCAGGGATGAGGGGAAGTGGAAATATGGTGCATGGGTGACCCTGGGGAGGCATCAGTCTTTCCTCTGGCCTCGGGGACCCCATGCTGGTAGGTGTGTGGAGCCCTTTCTTGGGTTAAGGAGATGATGTAACCTCCACTGACCTTTTGGACTTCTTTGAGTCTGCAGGTGAGTGTCCACTCAGCCTCAGAGTGAGCCACATCAGACCAGATTGGAGGACATTCCCAGTGTCTTCCACTGGCAGCTGTGCTCTGGCAGCTGCAGGATTAGCTGTATGCAATCTCTGAGGCTCCAGGATACGTTTTAGAAGTGGAGTCTGGTCCAGGCGGCAGAAAGGACAGCTGGACCCATTGTTGGGGTGAAGTGGGGCACGAGGCTGGGAGACTGGCTGCAAAGGGGACCGAGTATCACTGCTGTTTGCCTGCAGCACCTAAATGGCCACAAAGGGATGCCCTGGGTTCTGAGGAGGCTACTGAGCCAACAGAAGGATGAAGAAACACATGAACAATATTTTTTAACAGCTTTATTGAGATGTAATTCACATGCCATATACTTCATCCATATAGAGCATAAAATTCAATGGGTGATTTTCATTTTCTTATTTTTATCTTTGTGAGAATATATTTAAATGTATCTCCAGTGACATGTATTATTTTAACCATAAAGAAAAACACATGTAGTGTTACTTTCTGATGGCTGGCCAAGGAGTTGGCGGCTGAAGGAAGTGTCCAGGCAGAGCTGGGGCCTGCAGGGTCTGTGGGGTCCTGCAGGGGCTGTGGGAGCTCCATTGCTTTCAGAGCCTCATTCTCCCACGCCATCCATTTAACAAGGTACAAGAGACACTGCAGGGGAGAATCCACTTGGCCTGCCAGCGGCTGGAAAACCGAGTCATGGTGCCTGTGAGATGGTGCCCTCCAGAAAGGGCTGTTCAGCCGGAAAGCTGTGTCAGCTCCAGCGTGAGGCCCAGCATTTGTGGCCCTTGGAGTCTGAGGTCTAGGCTCGTGGGAAGCAGGGGAAAAGGAAATGTCCTGAAGAAGGTGGACACGGTGGCCTGGGGCTCTGGAGACTTGATGGGAGGCCCCTCTGCAGACCTGGGTATGAGAATTAAAAGGCACAATAACAAAGCGGGCCGTGTGACCCATGGGAGTGGCTGAGCTCCCAGGAAGAGATGACAGCAAGCAGGGAGAAAGAACACGGGGACCCAGGGCAGAGGCGTGGGACGGGGAAGGGAGCCGGGAGAGGAGTGGTCAGGGCCAGTGCAGGGAGGAGGGAAGTGCCCAGCCGCCAAGGACGGCCTGAGCCCCAGAAGGGAGGCCGCGGCGCACCAGGGACACACTCCGCACAGACACTAGGTGGCACTGTGGCCACTCTTCTGCATTGGCCATTTTCTTTTTGTTAAAGAGAAATGAATGCGTGCTGAGGCCCTCCCTGCAAATGCCCCGTTTAACCAATGAGAAGCCCGGAGAGGGGCTCTGACTTGCCCCAGAGCATATACGGGTGTCATGGCAGAGGTTGGCCTACCTCCTCGCCTCCTGTCCCAGGTTCTTTTCAGTCACCACCCCCAGAGACAAATCCAGAAAAGTGGCTGGCAGGATCCTGCAGGAAGCCTGAAGGGCCATGAGGCCCACCAGGCCGAAACCTCCAGCACCACCCACTTTGCGGTCTTGCGCACAACGGAACACAGGCCTGTTTTACCCACCCTGTTTCTGCTTAGCCTCCGCCCCCAGTCTCTTTCCACCTGCAGCCACAGTGACGTGTTTCAGTATAAGCTGGGTCTAATCACTCCCCCATTAGCACGCCCAGTGGCTCCAAAATGCTCCTTACCCTGACATTTCTCTTAGCCTGACCTGTGGGGCTATCCCTCTAGAAGGTGCTCCCTGAGCCACCCTGCCTTTTGGGTTTGGTCTGATAAAGCTTGTCACGCAGTGTCACCTAAGCAAACCTGTTTTCTCTGTCATCCCTTGCCCCTCTAACCACCGCTTTGGCTTCAGGGTGACTTCGCTGACAGCCCCTCTTATTTTCTGCGGTGCACTTCCCATTCGCTCTAACACCTACCGTGGTCATGTTCACTACTTTTCTCTTCTAGACTGAACTCCAGGGCGGTAGGCAGGACAGGTCCATTCTGTGGGCAGCCTGTCCACCAGGGTCCGGCCGTCGGGACTAAGGATGGTCATGCTGGCAGAGCAGAGAGGTGTCACAGGGCAGTATCTTTAGGACAGGCCTGCCGGGTACTGAGATACAGCCAGGAGTGTCTGTCTGGCTCTGTGGACAGAGCATCAGCATCTGAACGAATGGTGTTGGGAACAGAATGTGTGCCAGAAGGATTAGCCAGAGGCACGGAACTGAGCGTCCTGCAGAAGGGCTCCCACTGTGAGTCTCATTTCCACATTCTGAGACCTGGTATATTTTCATGTGTGTGAAAGTAGAGCAATTATTGAGTTTGCCTTCAGTTCCAAGTTTTAGAAAATGGGGTGCATCTGGAGCTGGTGGGTCTCAGCATGGCTTTTTTTCCGACCTGATCAGAGCTCTCCCACAGTTGGGACCCATAGACCCGTGAGCCAATGACAGAAACATGGAGGGGCCCACAAAGTTGATGGTGGACAAGCACCCCAACATGCCATCCCTGTTTGGCCTGCTGGCTCATAGGTCCAACACTTCAAAACATTTCCCTCTCCTTTCTCTCTTACAACCGAGTTGCATCGGTGTGTTAATAGAGGTTTGTTACACAAAGAAGGTCGTGTATCTCTTTGTTCACAAGGAGACTGCCAAAAGGCTAAATGAAAAATGATTTAAAAAGATTTTCTTTTTTCTGTTTCATATTTCAATGTTAAATAATATTTAAAATGTCATCTTCTTTCAGGAGTATTCAAAACTGGACAGTAAGAATTGGAGTCCTTTGTTTCTGCAGGAAGTTTTGACGTCTGACAAAGAGGAACGCGGCCGTGGTCCTCGCCCCTGGCCAGAACCAACTTGATCCGCAGCCAAATTTCGACATCTCCCGAAGAGGAAGTGTGTTTTCTGGTTGGAGGAAAGCTGAATCCATGTTCACATCCACAGGATGTGAGCAGGGCTGGGGATGGGCAGCGAGAATGGGCAGGGGAGAAAATCAGGACTAGCTCTTAGGAAAAAAAGTGGTCTGGCGAAAATTCTGGAGACCTTGAAGTAGCTGCAGGCTGCGATGGAAGTGGTCAGGAGAAACCCCTCCTAAAGTGACTCCAAATCTCCAAATGTGTCTCAGTCAATACTTCACAAAACACAAACTGGGCCACCAGAGATAAGCGTACAAAACAATGATGAGTGTGTGTGGGGGGCGTTATATTGTCCGAAGTAAAAATCAGAACTCGACCCGCTGATGGGATGGCGTGACTGGAACTGAGGCTGCCCACCCCTTCCAGGCGAGGGGTGCGGGCTAGTGGGTGTGAACCCTAAAAGGAAGAGCTTGCCTGTGGAGCAAGAAGCTGCACCGGATGGTTCCCCAAGCTCCGGCTACACCACATGGGCCACATGCCAGGCTTCCGTGTGACCAGGGGTGGCCGTGTGCGGAGACTAGGAGGTTGAGAAGAGGACAGACAGCTGGTCTGCACTGTCTGGCCTCTCCCCAGCTCGCCCCTGGGCTCGCAGTGCACCCTTGTTCTTACACTTAGGTCAGGGTGGCAGAGAAAAGGGACAGGTGAGCCGCAGGCAAAAGACGGGGAGGGCCCGGCCACTGCTGTGACATTCCTCTCAACCTTTCCTTTAGGACAGGACTCTTGGTTTACACGAGAATCTAGTTTTGCTTGTTTGGTGTGTGTATGTGTGCATGTGTGCGTGCGTGCATGTGTGTGTGTGAGTGTGGAATGTCCCTCAGTCTTCACACTGAACATTACACTAGAGGAGAAAGCAGCTCCAGGACAAAGCCCGTCAGAGGTCTTCTGTCTACCATTATTTTAAAGACAGGGCTGCATAATTCAAAATGATCAGCTCTTTAGCATTACCGTCTTTTAAAAATAGTTTTAACTGAGTAAACGATGTATAGCAAAAAAAAAAAAAAAGAGAGAAAAAAGCAGACAGATATGTACATAAGACCATAGTGGTATGCTATCTTGGTTTCCAAATTCCAGATAATAAACTCACTATGACTGCCTTGAATACAGAACAGAGGGCCTCTGATGCCCTCTGAAACCTCAACCCGACCTGGATGTACCTTGGTAGGTGTTTTGTGTTCTGAGCACCCAGTTTCAATGTGTGTTTGGGGGGGTTCCCCACACCTCCAACAAGCAATGCTCAGATCCGAGCAGGGTGCTAGAGAACGTGACTCAATTCGGACACTATCCACCTGGAGAGAGTGTCCAATTCCACAGGTTGAGGGCTCGGTCCTACAAGACTCCCCACCTCCCCGTGTCAGATGCCAATTCCGAGCCCAGGTTTGTACTTCTGACCAATCGGCTACAAACTGGAGGTGCCAACGACTCCCTCCAACTCAGGATGCCGGTCGCAAATCCAGGTTGTCAGCCGTACTTCTGAGGGACTGGTTGCCTATCAGAGGTTCCCAAGATTCCCCTCTTCGGGTTCAGCTAATGTGCTAATTGAAGAGTGGCTCACAGAACTCAGAGAAACATGTTTCTAGATCACTGGTTTATTGTAAAAAGATATGACTCAGAACAGCCAGATGGAAAAGCATGAGGCAAGGCATGGCGAAAGGGGGGGCCCTTCTATGTGCTCTCCGCATGCGCCATTTTGCAACATCTCCACGTACTCCCCAACCCAAAGCTCTCTGAACCCTATCCTTTTGGGTTTTTTTTTGGGGGGGGGGGTTCATTACACAGGCATCATACAATCATTGGCCACTGGCAACTGATTCAACCTCCAGCCCCTCTCTCCTCCCCAGAGGTCAGGGGTGAGGCTGAAAGGTCCAACCCTCTCATCACATCGTTGGCTCCGTTGGCAACCAGCCGCCATCCTTAGCTGAGTTCCCAAAGTCATCACTAACAGCAACAGACACCTTTATCACTCTCACTGCTTAGGGCATTCCAAGGGTTTGGGGAGCTCTGTGCCAGAAAATATGTACTTATTATAAATCACAACCACGCAGCAGGTCTCTGAAAAGACAAGGTACGTACCTGTTTTGGATACTTCAGCAATGTTATTTTTCTAAACGTATGGATAATGTATACAGCCATTAGACAGGCCTGCTCAGCTTCTGGCGTCTTCTTTTAAAATATCATTGAAATCTCTAGGACAATGACACATAGAAAAAGTGGCTGTGTTCACTTATTGCTTTATTACCTGCATTCTGTTCCTCTTAGCATAAGAGACCGTCTTCACCCAGCTTCTAGACCCAAGAGCTCTCCACTACAGTCAAGCTTAGGCTATCAGCTGCCTATCTTTAAATTCCATTACAGATATCCAATAAAATTGAAAGATATTTAGTACCTAAGGTAGGCAATGCCTTGCTATAGGTTCTGTAGATGGGATAAAGTATAAAATTCTGTTATTAGGGTTTATAACTTAGAGGTGTACTCTCAAATTCTCATTGCTTTAGGGCTAATGGCCAATTTCTTCCCACCCCATATGAGCTTGCCTGATAGAATATCTTGATGTTATGTGTCACTACTTTTGCATTTGACTATTGTTTTTAATCGCCCTTAACTGGCCCTCATTGCACATGCTCTGTCCTTAAGTCATCTGTCACATTCTTATCACTGTCTGATAATTTAGAGTGTTCTTTTCAAATCAAGGAACTAACCAACATTTTAAATGAACTCATCGTTTTTAATATCAGTTTTTCTTGGAACTGATTTTCTTCGATAAGTCAAAAAATGTAAGCCAGGTAACAGAGGACGCAGTGGAAACACTGCTCTTTTAGGAGTTACAGATTTTCAGTGTACAGTTACTAGTGTTGCTATGAGGTATCTACTTAATAGTCAGTTTCTTTAATAGTTAGATTTTCTGAAGATTCACCGTGTTATATTTCCATCTGCACAAAACTGTATCAGCTACATCTGCCAAGTCTTGGGTGGCAGGCAGCCTGACACCAACGCAACACTTGTCATCTCACTTCTTCCAGACAGGAAATGATAAACTTGTCTTCCTTCCTACATGCTTTCTGGACACAGCTCACTGGAAAATCTGCTTTTAAAAAAAGCTAGAACTAAATTTCATAGCATGCCATTTACTCTTGCTGCACCACAGCCGGCCGCTATGGATGCTTTTCTTCTGGCTAAATGGATTGAAATTTAATACTGGAAATTAGTCCAATTTAATCATTTCGAGAATGAAGGTCAAACTACTAAGACTGTAATTTCCTTTTGGGGAACATTAATTTCTAGTCAATAAAATCTGAGTGTGTGTGTGTTTAATGAATAGTTCTCCTTCCCAATGTGCTTCAGTCCTATATGGAGTGTTGGTTGTAGGTAAATACAGATAAACACATTTGTGTTTTGAAAACACAAATCCATGCTGTCTAAAGAGGCCTTGGGCAGTGGGAAAGGAAAGAGTAAAGATGCAGAAGGCTGGGCCAGGGTGCCTCAGCCTCCAGGGGAAGGGCAGGGAGGCCTGTTTTCGGGGGGACTCTGGGTACGGGATTGCTTCCCTGGTTGTCCGTGTTCTGGGCTAAGAGCCGACTGGTCCCGGAGGGTCAGTGCCTTTGAAGAGGGCGTTGGTCACAGGGGCAGCAAACACAGGGCCCTTTGAGGGAAGCTTTGCTACCATGTGCGTGAATGACGGAAAGCCCTGGTGTCACATGGCTCTTGCTCGCTCCTCAAGCACACTAAGGGCTCACTTCATTCTGAGGGGTGTTCAGCTAAATCACAGGCACTGTTCCTTTTCTTCCTTTCCAATGGACTCAATGAAGTGTCCCCAAGAAAAGGTGAGAAATAACCCACAATCGGGTGCTGTAAACCTGCCAGGGAGGAGACTAAGTCACCGTTTCGCAATCAACCTACAATGCTGATCTGAAAGTTTCTCGAGACAATAAGGCGAATTCGACAGTCCCTCTCATATCAAGTCCCAACGCGCTGGAGTTAGAATGTAGCTAAGACAAGGTGGTCCTTGGTTTTAGAAATCTTTAATAACCCGGGGAGACCAGGTGTGACCACTGCTTTTTCTTTTACAATGAAGCCCCCGTCTACCCCACAAACAGGACTGTCAACACGAGCGGTCCAGTCAAAAAGCTGGTTTGACAACTTAACCTATGGGTCCAACAGATGAGCTGCCTCCTCAACCCCCCAGTTCTGTGGAAACAGGCATTGTCTATGCTTATTAATATATTCTTGGGAAATGAAAAAAAAATCAGTGTGACACAAAAGGAACAATGAAGCAGGCAAGGTAGCACCTAGAATACACGACCTTGTCCAGATCCCAATTTAGTGTTTGCCTAAAAACATGAGGTATGTCATTGGGTGGTACCATCCCAGTGCCACAGCATTTCTCTAAGGCCCACTAGGTCTGGAGAGAACATGCTTTCTGTAGAAAGAAAACAAACCAAAAAACAAAAAATAAAAATAGAGACAAAAACACACAGTAAAGTTCACTGATATTTTCTGTGGCTCCAAGTTCCAGTAATAAGTATGTTAAAATACACAGAACGTGTAAATGGTCCTAAGTTGCCTCAAAACCCATGCGAGAGGGATGCGTGTGCGCCTGCAAAGCTGTGGGAAGTTGGAAGAGTGATGGCGAAACCTGAGTTACTAGAGATCAACCTGGTGACACCTGCAGCACCTAGAGGTCTGTTTCCAGAAAAGTGAGGGGGGGGGTAAGGAAGGGGCAGCCCAGAAGCAACAAGCAACAGCCAAAGTGCTAACGTCCCTGGAGCGGCCTCTGATCAACTCCAGTTGGCTGGGGGACTCCATAAAAGGTCTAAAAAATACATCTTTTTACTCCTTTAGGGCACCTACTGCCTGCTGGCAACTGAAAGCTGAGGGTGCAGAAAGGGACATATTGATGAGGAGGGTGGGACGGACCAGGTGTGACGTTTGCTGGGCACTGAGCTACACACTTCTCAGCAACCTTGCAAGGACACACATCCACACGTACCCGTGAGGCGGCGCTCACAACACTGGGAAAGTTGTCTGAGGAAGTTACAAGCCCTGGCTTAAGAGAAAAAAAAATCAGGCTTTAACTAGCCCCTGAAGGATGAGGGACTGGAGGTGTGTGGTCTAGGCCTGCCCGCGCCTGAGCCACAAGACGGCTGCGGACCATCTTCCCGCGTCTCAACCTTCAAACCTTAATCCACTTAACTGGGGAGAATTCTAAAGCATCTTCTCTAAACAGTAAAATCCACGGAAAACTGTAAGACAGAGAACCAGAAAAATATCATTTGGTTACACCCGCTAATCGGAGCATGGCCCAGAGCCCCGGAGACCCAGGGGACTCTGTGGGAACGCCACGGCCCGGCTCCCCGGCCTGCGTACGTCCAGGGGGCGGCAGACACAGACGACATCAGAGTGGGCGCGGGGTGCCAGCCGCACGGGAGCTGCAGAAGCAGGTGGAGAGGCGCGGGCTGAGGGCGAGGCGGCAGCAGGAGCGAGGAGGGAGGACAGAGACCCAGCGGGTCTCTCACTTTAAAGGCTGGAGCAATTCAGAGATGAGAGCTGCACAAGCCTGTTCTCCGGGAAGAAGCTGCCACCGACCGCCCTCTCCAGACGGGTTTGCAGCTGCCTGGGACCCCTCGTAGGACAAGGCAGCCTTCATCCTCGGTCCCTCACTGCTGGCATCCACAGTGAGGTCCCCATCTAGCAGCATCCAAAAAGGATATCTCAGGTAGACTTTTTTTTTTTTTTTTTTAAAGCACTGCACTCAATTAACTATACTGTGAGAGCTCCTCAAAAACGTTTTGTTTTTTTCTTGGCCAGCACACTGCCTGGTACATACTGCCAGTCAGGCATTCAAAAAATAATTTTTACAATAGGCAATTTATAATACTGGGAAAATTTCATTTCAGTGTTTCCGAAAACGTGGTTATTCTTGGAAAGGGCTTATTTTTCCACGACTCTGGATGACAGAGGTTTTGCCCTAATTTGTATAAGCCACCTAGGATGGACAGTGAAACATCTTAGATTAACATTTAAGTGCTTTGGAAGGGCAGTTAGAAACTCCCAAGAAATGCAAAGTTGCGATAATTGCGGGGAAAATAATGTACACTGCGGCCCAGAGCAGGTTCACGGTGCTGGGAAGACACAGGAAATGTCTTGTGTCACTTCCCGGCCTGACCAGGGACCTTTAGGACAGATCCTCTGGTTGGTTCCTGCAGGCCTCCTGGCAGGAAGCAGACCAACAGAGAGGAACTGTGAACTTCTCCGACCAGCCCAGCCTCACACTGCAGCGTGGCCAGGCCAGAAAGTGGTTTAGCTCCTGAGCACGTCATCCTGACAGTGGCTCCATCTCTCCCGCTACACAGAGCAGCAAGGCCTAGAATCAGGCATTCAGGGCCCTCCTTAAACTACTGGCCTCCCCTCTCCTTCCACTTAACTACCTGCTATTCTATGTGCGCTAGACATGGGCAGGGTCCTTACAAATCAAATAACTGTCTAAAAATACAACGAAACATCATTACACACAATTCTCTTAGAAAAGTCTTTCCAATTCAATTCCCAAGATTCATTTACAAAATTTTGTGCAAAAACACCTCAAATAAATAAGGGGGGGGGAGTGGGAAGAACAAGACTGTTTTTCGTCTTTTAAATTAAAAGTTAAAAACACCAGCTGCACTTCAAAGTAATTGCAGGATGAAATACTTCAAGAAGGCCATGGAAACTGGCCCTCAGAGTCAGAGGTGCATTTCCAGTGAGGTTTTCTGTGTTCAAAACTCGCAGTAGATGCCTCCGCTGAGGTCCTTGACCACACCCTCTTTGACCAACTTTAGGAGCAGCTCGGTCTCCATCTTCACGTTATGCATGGTCTGAAAGTTCATGGCAGCCATGCAGAGATTGTCAAAGTAATGCAACGGTGTTTGGGGTTGTTTGAGGTTATATCCAAAGCCTGCCAAACTGACTTCATCACAGAGATGTGTGGCTAAGACAACAGCAATGACACCAATCGTGGGGATGTTCTGAAAAAGAAAAAGGCCAGACAGTCTGAGCATAATTCACTGCTTCTCAAGTAGTACACAGGCTCTTCCAAGTAACAAAGGGGCTGTAGTTTGACACATCAAACAATTTTATCCATCACAGAATTGTAAGGTCTGACTTTCCATCCAAGTCAGGGTTCTAGACTCTGAAACATAGTCAGTGGTGTGAATTCCTTTAACGTGCCACCAAGAGGCGGCGTGGCAGTTCTTTTTGCACCAACTTAAGAGATGTTTGGGGTTTTTTCTGAAACTTCTACGTACCGGTCTTGCATATGATGACCAGCATTGCAAAACAAGCCCACTTCCTCTCTCACATGACAAATGTCCATGGTCTGTTGTCGGATAAGTGGCCAAAGGACCCTCTACAGTCCTTGTCGGGACATAGCCCTTCCTGGCTGGCACCTGCACACGAGCTCTGTCTGAAAACAGCAGCATCGGTACCTCCAGGGGAGACTGTACTCACCCCGTACCTGAAGCCACGTCCCACTTAAGGCCCCATTTGCTTTCCTGATAAATAAAACTTCCAGGCCATTTTCACAGGTATAGCTGCCAAGTCAGTTTTTGCTCACCCTCTGTTTGGGCAATTACATTTTTAGGCCCCAAATGTCCAAACCATCTTGGACTCTGACTGTACAAGCACTCCCTCCTCACGGCTGGTATCTTGCCACTTGCAGACCTGGCATCCTGTTTCCGGGCTCTCCATCCCAGCCTTGGATAGAGAGAGCACACAGAGCCCAGCCAGCATGGCTCAGAGGCTGGGTGCCGACCTACGATCTAGGAGATGGCAGTTCAATTCCTGGTCAGGGCACATGCCTGGGTCATGGGCTCAACCCCCCGTAGGGGGTGTGCGGGAGGCAGCCAATCAATGACCCTCTCATCAGTGACTTTTCTTTCTCTCTCCCCCTTCCTCTCTCTGAAATCAATAATAATAATAAAAAAATTTAAAAAAAAAATAGTACACAAGGCCGAAGAGGAGCAGAAAAGGCCCTGCAGCCATCTAAGCCCCCTCTGAAGGCTGCTGCTGATCTACTAATTGACTTACTCTGTTGAAATTGAGACATTAACCCAAAGGAAGTCTTCCTCCTGTTTAGCCTAGGACCCTAAGGCAGTGCTCTGTCATCTCCACCTGTGGTCAGCTCAGCACCCAGCATGTCGGGAACACTCGGCCAGGGAGCTTGTGGAAGGAGTGTTATGAAATCACTGTTCACAGGGGCAACGTGTGGAGAGAAGCTCAGAAACTGTCAAAAACTACCCCAACCATGTTATCTCCAGAACATATCCCCTAAGATCACTCCTCAACAGACCTCTCTCTGAGGAGGGCCACATGCATGAGGGAAGTTTCTGACAGTGCAGTTTTCCAGATCAGAAGTCATCTTTTAAGTTACTGTTTTCATCCAAAAGAAAAATACCATCTTGTCCACTATAAAAATAAACAACTATTCAATTCAAATAATAAATGGATTATAATGTAAAACGTAAATGTCTTCGATAGACTCGCCCTCCAGAGAAGGGCCTTCTTCAGAGTTTGATGTTTATTTCCAAGCTTTTTCCTGGGCATCTCTCTACACAACTTTTTATTTTTAAACAAAAATGGGATTGTTCTGTAACTCAATTTCCTTGCTTAATATATTATGAAGGTGTTTTCATGTCTATTAGCTTTTCTTCATCCTTAACAGTCACACAATATCGCACTGACTACACCATAATATGATTATACAATCCTCTAATGATGAATGTTTAGGTTGTTTTTAGTCCTGTGCTATAAATGCTATGGTGAATATCTTAGAATATCCATCTTTTCATATTTCTCAAATTTCCTTATACTAAAAATTTTACAGTAAAATTACTGGGTCAAAAATTCTTCATATTTAAAATTGATATATACTGCTAGACTATGACCCAGAAAAAGTGCCAACATATAATTCTACCTAAAAGCTAAGAACTAAATTCTACCCAAAATCTAAGAATTAAATTGAACGCCTTTATCTGCTTTCCTTCCAAAAAGCCCATTTTGTTAAGTACTCAGACTTCTCAGCTCTGCCTCATTTATACTTTTTGCTTTCCTACTGCCTACCCACCCAATACTGTTAATAATAATAACAACAATAAAAAACAACAACAAAAAACCACCAAGGACACTGCCAAGCTTTTAAATCTTTGCTAAGGAAACAACAGGTGAAAAATGTCACTTGGCTCTAATTTGCTTTTATTTGCTTATTGGTGAAGTTGAACATTTTATCACATATTCCCTGGCTGTATTAATTTCTTCTTTTGTGAAATATCTGTTCATAGCCTTGCCCTATTTTTTTGTTTGGTCACCTTTTCCTTTTTGATTTAATAAGATCTCTTTGTACTTTGAGAGCATTTACTGTCATATAGATGCTACATTTCCCCCCCTTGTTCTAACTTTTGTCTCTGATACCTTTTGCCATTCAGCGATTTCATATTTTATGCAGTCAAATCTGTCCATTCTTAAAAGGTTACCTTTTAAATAAAATCTATCTATAAACAAACAAATGAGCATTTGCCTGTTTAAAAAAATACTATGGAATTTAATAAAGGAACAGGGCAGTTTTAAAAGATACAGAAACCTAAAACTACTGAAAGATACCCAAGCATATTTACAGTAAAGCCTCTTTATAACTTAAAGAATCTTGTAAAAGTCTGTTTCTTTTTAAAAAACTTTTGTTAAAAGTGATGTTAACAGATTGACATGTTCTGGGGGCCCCTATGTGCTTCTGTGTGGGAGACAGCAGCTAACGTGGCCTATTAAATGATTCCAACCATAGACCCCGAGAGTCACTGAGGACAGGCAGAGCCTCTCTCCTCTGAGAGGGACAAAGCGCCACCTCCTGACTGGGAAACTGGTCCTGGACAAGCTCCTGCAACGGCAGGAACTCCATGGCCTTCGTGGCCTTGCCATGGAGAGGCAGGGAAGCACCAAAGAGGGCAGAGCACCTGCGGAAAACGGCAGCCTGCTAGGGGAAGAGCTTCAGCACTATGAACCGTCCAGGTGAGCCGGGTAGTTATGCCTGAGGCTGGAGCCAGAGTTGAATTTAGTCACTGATCACAGTAAAGAACTAGGTTTTGTTTTCAAGGAGCCCATGTAGGTGTTTATTTTCCTTAATAACCACAGACTTATTCCTTTACAATTTATACAATTCATGTTTTCAAGAATCTTTATAATTAGAATTTTATTTATATGGCAAACAGAAGAACCTGCTGATCTGCCCATCGGTCGACCACACTTAAGAGTATAGCTCAGTGTTTGCAAATTGTGACCCTGACCAGCTCTGCTTCCTAGGAAATCTCTCAGGCCCTCAATGTGAGAAGTGGCCCCCACGTTTCAAAATTCCTTGCTTTCCTTTACATATAACGGTTTTGCTCCAAATGTTGTTTAAGAATGACTTCCACTGCTTTAATAACAAGTCTTAAAGACACAGGTCTAACTATTCAGATCGTAAAGAAATAGGTAATAGGTAATTAGCCTGTTGGCAGCACAGGCTAATTGCAGGTAAAGAACGGACTGCGGTGAACAGCCTATAGCGCAAAGATTCTCAAATTAGGCTGCAAAATAAAATCGCCCAGGGAACTCTGAAAGTCCCAATGTATCGACCACAGCACAGACCAACTAAATAAAAATGTCTGGGGTAAGACCCAGGCATCAACTGAAAAGTACTGCTCCAGGGGCTGACTTTATTTACTATCACCTATAAAGTCACGAGAAATGTCAATTCTCACCTGAGTGGCCCGCAGAGTTAAAATGTAAAGAACTTTGCAGATGATCACTTTCAGTGTCCTGCAGTTAGCTATATGGAGTCTCAGAGTAAGAATATCTTAAATACCATCTCAGTGGCCTCAGTGTTAACGTGCTGACTATACTAACAAGACGAGTCACCGGGGGGAGACCAATTAAACAACGAGGAGCCGGGAAGTCAGGGTGCAGAGTGGTGGATACAGATGCAGCATCTAATCTGGACTAGGTTTCTCCACTGGAACATGCCTCTGTGTATAGAACTGAGCTTAAGTGAAATTTAGGCCCCACAAATGCAGAGAACAATAATTAACTTTAGAAGCAACAAAAAAATACCTTATCTCGGCCCCAGAACCTTGACTGAGGCTCTGAATATTGAAGGATGTCAAAGGCAGTCTCTTTGATAATAACCGGATTCAAAATCCTGAAATGTTTTGGCTGTAATGGAATTTTTTCTGCCACCTGCTTCCAAAAGAAGAGTCGTACCCAAAACGGCTAAAGAAAGAAAACAAGCAATCGTTAGGGGTATTCAGTAGTCATGGATCATTGGAGGGTGAGAATGCAATCCCTGAAAATCAGGCCAAGCTGTGGTCATGACCCCTGGTGAGCATGTGTTCTTTGGCAAAGTCACAGATCTGACTTTATTAACTATCTACAAAGTCAGTATCTCAACGCAAAGAAGTAACTCCAAAGGACCTGATTTATGAAGGTGGCATTGGACAAGGAGAGAAACTGCAGAAACAGCTCGTGTTTGGGGAAGAAATTGACCTGAGGTGGTAGGTAGCCTTTTTAGAACTGAAAGTTACCATCCTGCCCAGAGAAGACTACGTAAAAAGAGCCAATTCAAGGGTATTAAGTGCTGTGAGTACCCGGCTCTAATCAGGCCCTCACCCGTGTCCTCTCTCTCCACTGACTCTGTTTCCCAATCCTGTGAAGTCTCTTGGTAACTGACTGTAAGTCATTTTGTATGTGCTTCATCTTTCAACTAGAAAAAGTTCTACTCAATAGAAAGTCCAGAAGACCATGACAGCCTGCACAGAATCAAACTCCAGAGGTACAGTCTCCATCACATGAAGCTTATGTGAAAAGTCTAATATATCCTATTAATTCTGTGGACAGCCAGTGTATATAAACGCACACACACTCCATGACAGTTGGCCTCTGAAATTAATTTCAACATAATGGGTTGAGACTATAAAGTAATGTGATTGATCACTATAAAGACACAGAGGAATATGATCAATGAGGGACATCTCCTCCACACCCACCCCTCTGGAATGCTGGGAATTTACACCACCAATCAGAGCAGTTTGGAAGAAGCTCTTTGAGAATATTCCTCAGAGGTTTTATGTATATTCTTTTGAATATCCTCAATAATGGTTACATTAATCCATGTAAACCTAATTTCTAGAAAAAGCCGAAAGTCATATAAGTGCAAGTCTGGTGAATAAATCGGGTGATCAACCTTAGTAATGACAATTTTGGTCCAAAACTTGATATTCCCATTAAGTAATGATCATGATTTCCAGCTGTAACTCAATCAAGTTGTGAAAGCAATTTCCAGCACGGAATTCTGAGGAGTTTCCACAAAGGGAGTGGTTAATTTAAAACACAACACAAAAGTATGCATTCCACTGTGTTTGCTTAAAAGTAAAAGTCTGTAATCACAATCAGAGACCCCTTCACTTTTCACAAAGACATGTGGTGGCCGAATTTCTAGTGCTTACCAGGGTTTCGTTTTTTACCATTGCTTGAAGCCAGTTGAAGTCAACACTCTTAAATAAAACAGCAACAAACAAGTCATTGGAATAATATTCGAAGTCAGACAGTGGAGCACCCTCTGGATAAGTCATCCTTATAGTAGTTTTATTTCCAACATGCTCTGAATATCCCTCAACTGGTGCATTGTTTAACCTATTTAAATAAAAACAGCAAGATAAATTGACAAAGCAAGCCATTAATTATCACACCACAAAATAACCTCCTCCTCAAGTTCTCCACACTTTCTTTAGGACTGGGAATGACTAGTGGTTAGGGGTAAGGTGTCCCTCCCAGCCCCCAGTTCCACCCTTTCCAGGTGCCTGATGAATGCAGCTTCAGTCCCCTGTGAGGGACGCCCTCATCTCATCTCTGAATGTCCAGCAATTCTCTCTAATCCTGGCCCTTTTGGGCCAATCCAAATATATTATATTTGGGCTTTCTCTGGGCACTAGTAATGTTTCCCTGAAAGCCTCCCACTGTGCTCAGATATTAGTGGCTCTCACCAGAATTTCAAAAAAGTAATCAGAGGGGAAAACGTAGAAACCAGGGCAAGGCAGACACGAGCGGCAGTTATATATGGACAGGGTGGAACCAAGGCGGGCAACCGGACCAGGTGCAGCCTGGTCTTAAAGCAAGGATTTGGGACACTTGTAACTGTTAGATCAGTGAAGGCTTTACCAGGGTGGTTGTGTTGGGGACAAAGATGTTTATCATGCTCTGCTGACCGTGACTGTTAGCTACAGTTATAAGAAACATTAATCATGTTTTATTAACTGTTACGGTTCTATTCTATTTAGAAAAAGCACTTTCTAACCTGGCTGGGAGTTAACCTTGGAATTCGGTCCATTCTCCTTTTATCATGGAAAGATAACCACCTTGTTCCTGAAACAAAGGGGTCCGGGAGGCACCCCACCATTTTGCAAACCCCCAGTCTGCATTTCCTGTAACCTATAAACCATTATATCCATTCTCATTTCTTTTGCCCACTTCCCCATGTAACCACTGTTCTCCTACCCAGTATAAGGAACTGGCTTATGGGGGGCGGGTAGAACAGATTTTATGTGGGCAAATCCTGCTGCTCTCCCTGTTGCCAGCATTATTGGAATAAAAGCGCATATATGATTCAACCTTGTCTCTGCTTAATTGGCTGAAGTAGTGACAGGCAGCCCAGGCCCACTGTGTCCGGTTTCAGTTGTTTAGGGGAAAATTCTAAGAATTCTTCCCAAAGCAATACTACTCACCCTGTTATACAGTTTTGTAGTCTGTCTGGTTCTTCACCTGTATTATGTCACCTATATCTAACCTTTCTATTCCACTGTCACTTCCTCTTCTAGACACCTAACCCTGCGATTATTAAAAGATTTTATTAGACATGACAATAAAATGCAAGACATGTCTTTTTCCTGGACCAATTATTTTTTTTCTTTTTCTTTCTGGTTTTCCCCTGCTTTCTTTTTTTAAATAAAGGACATTAGGAACACTGGTGAAATCTGAATCAAGACTGCAGATAAGGTCTGTTGTGTCAGTGTTAACTTCCTAATTCTGAATATTGTTCTGTGCTTCTATAACAGAATGTCCTTGTGTTCTTAGGAAACACACACTAAAGTGCTTAGGGGTAAGGGAGTTAGATATTTGCGATCAACTCGGAAAGGGTTCAGAAAATAATAATAGCATATGCAGAGAGAAAATTATAAAGCCAATGTGAAAAGGGTTAACAATTGGGGAATCTGGAAGAAAGGTGAATGGGAGTTCTTTGTACTATTTTTGCAACTTTTCTGTTAAGTCTGGAATCACTTTAAGTCTAAAAGTTACCCCTCAAAAGCTCCTTAACTGATCTTCTCCTCCATAATTACACTGTCACCCTTTCTCTGTACCCAGTGCTCAGGGCCTCCTAGTGCCTATGCATAAAGTCCACGCTCCCCAGTCTGGGGCCCGCCATCACCGGGCACCTTCCCAGCCCCCTTTTCCACCCTCCCAGGGCCCCCCCTTCCTCCTGCCAGGTGAGGCTCCTCACACAGATCTTGCTGCCTGCCTTCCTCCTCCCTGAAAAGCCAAATCCTGCTGTTCTTCTGCTCAAAGCCTCCCATCTCTTCCACATCTCTCCTCTGGCCCAGAGTGTGCATATTGGCGCCCCTGGCTTCTCACCTCCTCTCCTCCCACATCCCAGTCATGCACCATTAGATGAGCACGGGGTCCCGTCTGCCTCCCCCAGGGCTGTCTGTGCACAGAAGGCCAGGATTGAGGTTCTGGAAGCCTCAAAACCCTGCATCTGGAATGCTGGGGTCTGGCTTGGACTCTGGGCCCTGTGGTGTCCTCATCTATGACACTGGCCAACAGTGATGGCTTCGCTGAGGAATGAGGAAGCACATGACACAGTCTGTCACATAGACATGAGCCAGTGAAAGACAGCGGATGTATCTGCCTTCACCCCAACCTTTACACTCCCACTTCACACCGTTCCTGCTTTCTGGTCATTGGGGCCTATGGGACCCCTTCTGCATTAAAACTTGGTTCTTACCTGTTTCTTCTATCTCTTGGAACTTACAAAACTCTGGTTCTTGCCTACAAACACCTTATACCCCTTGCCCTCTCCTTCTTAACCCCCACATTCCTACACATTCCCCCAAAACAGATGCTAACATTTACTGAGCATCTACTATAGGCCTGCTGCTATTCTAAGTGCTTTGAATCTGTTAGCTCATTTTATCTTCACAGCAACCCTACTAGGTATGTGCTATTACCGCCTCCACTTACAGATGAGGAAATGAAGGCAACAGGACAGTTAGGAGACCTGCCCAAGATCTCAGCTGCTGGGGACAAAGGCATCATGTATACATATCATTGCTTTTAGTTTAAAATATCTGAAATGGATCTTGTCATCCTCCCTCACTAACCAGAGGTTTTCCTCAACTCCTCCACTTCTGAAAGCAGTTCTGTTACTGTCTCAGACCCCCAAACCAGAAATCCTGGTGTTCTCTGACATCAATTACCAAACTGCCAGAAAGTCCTGTAATCCACTTTTCCAATATGCCTCTTATGTGTGATCTTTAGCCTCTATTTCTTCTTTCTCAGTCTCACATCAGGCCCCCACACTGTATGCCCTGATTGCAACCTCCAAGCCCAGGCTCCCATCCCTATTTTCTCCTGCCTTCAATCAAATCCACATCCTGCTCTCAACAAATTTAATTAAGACCCAACTTTCATCATGTTCCTGGTACTGCATATCATTAAGATAGGGACAATTTACTAAAACATATCAAGAGCCTTAAAAAAAATTCAAATATCTTTAAGCCAACAATTCTAGGAATTCTTGGAATTATTTCCAAGGAAATAATCAGAGATGTACATAAGGACACATGTATGGGAACGTGCAAAGCATTTTCATAATAACAAAGAAAATGGAAACATTCTAAACGCCCAGCAACAGGAGAGTGGCTAAGTAACTTACGATATGCTCATGTAAAGGAACATAACACTTAGTAAACTTAGTTTCCCAAAGAAATGACCTGAGAAGCTATCCATAATATTAAGATAAAATAGCAAAATACTTCATAAGAATATAAATGCACTCATTAATTAGTATGTGTATAGAACAAAAGTGAAAAAAATACAGCAAATTAATAGTGGTTGGTTATCTGTGCTATGAGTGGTATTTTCTTCCTGTATTTTTTAATCTTCAAGAATAAACATATTTTGCTTTTATAACCAGAGAAATTTTTAGCCAGCTAAACCAAGGATAATCTAGGCTGGCTACCTCATGGCCTGTTGTGTATGCTTCCCACAGCCCAGCCAGGCCTGCCAGGGCTCGCCCAGCCAAGCCCTGCTCCCAGAAGCCAGGCATCCCACTGACTCAGTCTCCCCCGTTCTCCTCTTGGCCCCGCCTGGCACAGCTTTCCTCCTTTGCTGGCTTATCTGAACCTACCCCCCCTTCTAAACCTCACCTCTTCTGAGAGTGCTTTGCCCGACTGGGGTCAGCACAGCACAGTATTTGGAGCATCTAATCAGTTCATGGTTTTGGTTTGGTTTCTTAAACAGTTAACTCCCCGGATGGCGGCAGGGGGGGCTGCTTGTGTCCCTCACTGTCCCTGGTGCGCACTGGCCAACAGCCGGGAACGGGCTCTAGAGGAGGAAGGATGGTTTGAAGCCAACGTACCTTATCACCACATCGAACTGGTTGAGGACGGGGCCCAGCGCTAGCCCATGGAGTATCCCGCCGCTTCCGATGACCACGCACCGCCTGCAGCTCTTGGCCTTCAGGTGCGCAGGCAGGTCGTGCTCAGGCAGCAGCTCCAGGAGGCTCTGGACTTCACCGGGGAACTTGCGGAAGCCGAAAGGGGGGTCGTACTGGTACTCGGCCTCGTTCACCCTGGGGGTCTTCTTCAGGAAGGGCAGCAAGTCCGAGCTGTACCTGTGCCCGAACAGCTGCGCCATGGCCTTCTTGGCAAACCGGGGTCGGCACTCCTTTTGCAAGACTTGCTGCGCGTACCTCTGAGCTCTCTGCAATGGAATCGCACCGAGCTGCGCTGACCACACTGGCAGGCGCTAGAAATAGGCTCTTAGAGGCGGCACTCTGCCTGTGTCATCTGTAAGGCGTCTGATGTCCCTCCCCTTTTGATTACTGTCTTTTAACACAGAACATCCGCTTTTAAGAGTTAACTTAAAACTAGAAACTTGAAGAAAAAATTGGGGGGAATCACATGACAAGGAGACAGACTCGACAAGAATATTTATTTCATCACAGAAGTCAAGCAGGAAGGCCCTCCACCTCCTACTGCCTCCCAGCCTAACCTTGTTCAAATAAATTTGGGGGGAAAAGATGCGTTTTGAGGTGTTTAAGATTTCATGTTTCATAAAATACTGTCACTTCCTACCACATGGATGAACCTTGAGGACATTACACCCAGTGAAATACGCCAGACCCCAAAATACAAAGACTGTGTGATTCCATTACCTAAGGTATCTAAAGTGGTCAAATTTATAGAAACAGAAAATAGAATGGTGGTTACCAGGGACTAGGGGGGAGAACATGGGAAGTTGTTTTTGTTGTTTTTTTGTTAATTCTCATGTGAGGATACTTTTTTCCGTTGCTTTTCAGAGACAATGGGAGGGAGAGAGGAGGGGAGAGAGAGAGAGAAACATCTATGTGAGAGACACACACACACACGGACTGGCGGCCTCCTACATGCGCTCCAACGGGGAGCGTGCGAACCGGAAACCAAGGTATGTGCCCTGATAGGGAATTGAACCCGAAACCCTTCAGTGCACAGGCCAATGCTCTAACCACTGAGCAACACCGGCCACGGTGAAAGTTGTTAATGGGTAGAATTTCAGTGTTGTAAGATAAATCTGTTTCACAATGTGACTTTCAATTTTGTAAGATGAAAAAGTTGTAGAAATNGGGCGAAAGTTGTTGTTTAATGGGTAGAATTTCAGTGTTGTAAGATAAATCTGTTTCACAATGTGACTTTCAATTTTGTAAGATGAAAAAGTTGTAGAAATCCGTTTCACTATAGTGCTTGAGAAATGGTTAGGATGGTAAATATTATGTCATGTGTTTCTTACCACAATTAAATTTTTTTTCATATTTCAGGTTCCAATCTAACAAGATGAGAAACAGGCTTATTTATCAGTTGGGGTCATGAGCTTCATACAGTCTGGAATGCAAATTAAACGTACTCAGGGAACGATGTCATGTCAACACAGAAGTTGCCTTGGTTTCATACACAAATTTCCCTGTAGGTTAACATTTCAACAGGAACAACTATCTAACGCCAAGTACACCAGTCCACCCGAACACAGCAAGTCGTGGAGGAACATGGTACCGATGCCCATTTGCCCCACAGTCTTCCTCTTGGCCTAGGCTGGCCAAACGCTGCCTCAGAACCAACCGCTTGGCAGAAAATTCTCCCTCATTGCCGGGCTTTTTGTCTGCTCCACCCTCAGCAGCCTTGGCCCTGCCTTAGACCTCTTGCCACCAAACTACCTTTGTGTGTGTGTGTGTGTGTGTGTGTGTGTGTGTGTGTGTGTGTAGTCCTATGTTAACTGGAATATTTTTAGGACTGAACATGTCCTTTGAACTATGTCAGTACTATTATGAGTAGAATTATTGTATATAGTCTTACATGTTTTCCCCAACTNTGTATATAGTCTTACATGTTTGCCCCAACTATGTTTTTTCTCAAAGCCTTGTTAATTTTATTGCCAGGTTTTTGTATAACACATTTTTTTCTATTTNATATAGTCTTACATGTTTTCCCCAACTATGTTTTTTCTCAAAGCCTTGTTAATTTTATTGCCAGGTTTTTGTATAACACATTTTTTTCTATTTTCAATTATTAGCATACAATATTATACTAGTTTCAGCTATACAACAGAGTGATTAGACATTTATGTAACTTACGGAGTGATCACCCCAAGAAGTCTAGTACTCACTGGACACCACACAGTTATTACATATTATATGCCCAATGCTGTACTTTACATCCCCGTGACTATTTTTATAACTGCTAACTTGTACTTCTTAATCCTTTCACTTTTTCACCAGCCCCCCAACCCTCCTCCCATCTGACAACTGTCCATTTGTTCTCTGTGTCCATGAGTCTGTTTCTGTTTTGTTTGTTCACTTATTTTTTTTTGATTCCACATATAAATGAAATCATATGGTATTTGTTTTTCTGTTTGACTTATTTCACTTAGCATAATACCCTTTAGGTTCATTCATGCTGTCACAGATGGCAAGATTTCATTCTTTTTTATGGCCAAGTAATATTCCATTGTATATATATACGACATCTTTACCCAGTGATCTACTGATGGGCACTTAGGTTGCTTCCGTATCTTGGTTATTATAAATAATGCTGCAATGAACAGGGGTACATATATCTTTTTGAATTAGTGTTTTGAATTTCTCTAGATAAGCACCCAGAAATGAGATTGCTGGGTCATAAGGAAGTTCTGTTTTTAATTTCTTGAGAAACTGCCATACTGTTTTCCATAGTGGCTGCACCAATTTACAATCTCACCAAAGGTCCATCAAAGGTGCACGTGGGCTCCCTTTTCTCCACATCATCACAGCACTTGTTTGTTGATTTACTGACGAGTCATTCTGACAGGTATGAGGTAATATTTCATCGTGGTATTAATTTGTATTTCCCTGGTGGTTAGTGATGTTGAGCATCATCTGTATGTCCTCTTTGGAGAAATGTCTATTCAGGTCCTCTGCCCATTTTTTAATCGGGTTGTCTTTTTCGTGTTAGGCTGTATGAGTTCCTTATATCTTTTGGATATTAACCCTTTATTGGATATATCATTGATAAATACCATCTCCCATTTGATAGGTTATCTTTTGGTTTTGTTGATGGTTTCCTTTGCTGTGTTTATTTCTTCTTTTGTTCCCCTTGCCCAAGGAGACATATCCAAAAAAATATTACTAAGAGCAACGTCAGAGTGTTTACTGCCTCTGTATGTTTTCTTCTAGGATTTTTATGGTTTCTGGTCTAACATTTAAGTCTTTAATGCAAAATGTGCTTAACTTTAACAAATTATTTTAAAAAATCCTTCTCCCTGCCTGGCTGGGCGTGGCTCAGCAGTTGAGTGTTGACCTGGGATCCAGGAGATCGAGGTTTGATTCCCAGTCAGGGCACATGCCCGGGTTTCGGGCTCGATCCCCAGCAGGGGGCATGCAGGAGGCAGCCCATCAATGACTCTCATCATCGATGTTTCTATCTCTCTCCCTCTCCCTTCCTCTCTCTGAAATCAATAAAGATCTATTAAAAAAAAAAAAATCCTCCTCCTCCCTGACTTTATTTTAATAATTCAAAAGTAACTGCAGTTTAGAGATGTGAGATAATTAAAAAACATCAGAGGCAAATGGTTAGAGTGTCAAATAGTAAGATTCTACTACACTGTCTAAGATTTTACTTGATTTGCTGGTAAACAAAACAAGCCAATGTACTATTAAAAAATATTTTTTAACCAAGATTAAATAATATTGTAGTGAAGATATTTTCCATCTAATACCTGTACATCTTTTTAAAAAATATATGTTTCTATTGATTTCAGAGAGAGAGAGAGAGAGATAGAACCATTAATGATGAGAGAATCACTGATTGATTGCCACCTGCACGCCCCCTACTGGGGACTGAGCCTGAAATCCAGGTATGTGCCCCAACAGGGGATCAAAACGTGACCTCTTGGTTCATGGGTCAACACTCAACCACTGAGCAACACCAGCCAGGCTAATACCTGTACATCTTGACTTTATAAGCATCATTTGTTTCTTGGCAAACTTGGTAAGATCTTCCTTGGACAATGTTTCCAGCCTTCCACTCTTCAGGGAGCCTGCTAGTCAAGTGTTCTCGCCACCTTAGATCTCCCTGTTCCAGAGGTGGCTGCTAAAGCCCCCCGATCTTGAACAGATCTTCCATGGCCACCTTCTCACTGTGACCCCGTGGCTACCAGCCCCACAGCCTGGCCACCACTGCTTCCGTACATCTTTCAGCAGCCGCTATAATAATTTTTTATAGAAACATATCTTATACCAGAACCACCCCCCCTTTTTAAAAAATTATAGCTTCAAAAAGTTATTACCTATCCTGGCCAGTGTGCTCAGTGGTTAGAGCGTTGACCTGCACACCAAAGGGTCTCAGGTTTGATTCCTGATCCAAGGGCACGTACCTGGGTTACAGGTTCAATTTCTGGCCCTGGCTGGGGCATGTGTGGGAGGCAACCAATTGATGTGTATCTCTCACATCAATGTTTCTCTCTCTTCCCTTCCCTCCCTTATACTCTCTCTAAAAATCAATGGAAAAAATATCCTTGGGTGAGAGTTAACAAAAATAAATAAATAAATAAATAAATAAATAAATAAATAAATAAATTTAAAAAAGTTATTAGTACCTGGAAAGATCACGCTATCTACATCTTAAGGCTCTGGCCCTGGTTCTGACAGGGGAAACTGATATTCTTTGAGCCTCAGATGACACTGCAGACACTATGCATAGCCACTGTCTCAGGTCACATCATGATGCCTATGACCCCTTGCAAGACTATCGCTAGTATCGTCCCTTTGTGGGCTCAGGGTAGGATAACCAGTAAGGGCAGAGCTGGCAAGCTAACCTGGGCCAATGATTACCTCCCAAACTCCAGAAACCACAGCCTCTGTAGACAGCGGCACACAAACACTGGGGAACAGGAGTCTGAACGGGAACTGGCACCTTCATGAAGAATCAGTGGGAAAGCACAGAGAGGAACTGGTCCTGGTCCGGGGCAGCCCCAGAACTGAGGGCCAGGCCCTCCCACCTGCTACCTGGGGGCTCTTGTGTAATGCCTGGCTGGTGGGGGCAGAGCAGAGTGGCTGCGCATACTAAACACTCTTATCTCTAGACTCTGGGTCTGAAGTTTAGAAACAGCAATTGTTAAGGGGACAAAGGTCTAAGTCTTCGCTACAGAGTGATATCCCAAGCATCTGGTTTTACAAATCTCCCAGGACAGAAGTG